AACTGTTAAAAGCTGGTCAACGCATGGAAGTTTTTTTGTTGGTTTATTTAAAGAATACCTTTGAAAAAGATGAAAGGTTTGTTTGCTGTCTACAAGTGGAGCCTCGTATGTCTTTCAAACAAACTCAATGAGAAGGAGCTTCTAATATCAGGATGGATCTCACGAAAACATGTCCAGCCCCCTGGTTCACTCCTAAAGCAAAAAATAAATATGATAATAATAAATATAATAATGTATTTTTAATAAAATTATTAACATTTTTAAACACACACACATACATGCATACACTCTTAGAAGAAATGATTCTATTTAGAACCAGAAATGGTTCCATCCCCCGCTTCATATATGGAACTCCAAAATGGTTCTATATAGAACCATTTTTTTGGTAAAAGGTTCTATTGGCCAAGTATGGAATATAGAACCCAGAGGAACCCTTTTTTAAGAGTGTATAGAACTTTTTAGGGGTTCCAAATACGGAGCGCTGGTAGAACCTTTTCTTCTAAGAGTGTACATGTATGTGTGTGTGTGTGTGTGTATAATTTAGTCATTTAGTTGTTTTTTGTCATTCTTTTGGTTTTCAGTTGTTTTTTAATGTCTATATAGTATTATTCATTTTTAGTTTTAGTTATTTTAGTACATGTACAAATTAGTACAAGTTAAACTAAATAAAAAAATGAGAAATGTTATTTTAAAGCAACAAAAATGTTTTGTTTATGGTTTTAGTTTTACTTTCTGTTAACTATAATAACCCTGATATAGGGTAATTACAGCAACGAGAACCTTGGAGAAAGTCATCATGAAAATACATTTCACAAAATAGGCTATTTTTAAAAACACAATATACAATTTCTTTTCTCAGTTGATTTGGGGGTTAAATACAGGTTTCGTGAGATTCATACTTGCATACTCTATCCTAATTTGATGTCAGTGCCAAAATAGCATCAGATCTTCACACTGAAAGGCTTCAGTAAATATGCTAGCCAGATTTGACCTGCCACTTACTCTACCACAAGATATCAGGCTGAAAAAACAAAGTGATTAAACTGTTCATCTTTCGTAAAGCATGCCTGCCATGGCTGATTGACAAAACCATAAATAGCAAAGTACGCTGCAAATTCAAGCATGTATTTAAAGGCCAGAAGAAAACCGATAGGATGTTTTTTTCCTTAATCTAATTACCGCCAAACCCTGTGGATTGTAGCAGCGGTTGAATCGCAATAAACAAGCTCAAAGCATCATGGTAAACAAAATCATGGAGAATGACTACGAGCTATTGAGCCCTCTCATTTATGTGAAGTTAACAATCACCTCCCTTCTTTGGTTCCCACAACACATCCATATCAAAGAATGACAAGTAGCAAAGGTGACATCCAATTTATAGCTCAAGGACTGCGGACAAGCAAATAAACAGGCATTTCCAGACCACGCGTCAAACTCAATTTGCCTCTCCCATGGTTCAATGCATTTAGGGGGCACGGGGAAAAAAAGTTGAAGGTGCAGAACTTTAATGCCTTACTAATAGGCTAGACAAGCCCAGTCATTTACGTTCACAGGGAACCCACAGGCAATCCCATAGTCTTGAAAAAGTTGCGTATGAAAAGTTAAGACATATGTTCAGAATACGTCTCAATGCGTCTCTTTCATTTTAAATCCAAAGCCGGTGTTGTCAGCGTTCGACTTCAAAAAGGCAAACCGTAGAAACTTTGAACCACTCCGTGCCCCGTCTGTGGCTGTGGGCTTGTTTTCCTGATCTCGCTAACTACCGCTTGCTGTCGCTACATTGCTGTTGCTTCGCCTGCAGGTAAAGAGAGATTAAACAGCATGCGGTGCCCTTGTAAAGCAGCAAAGGTTTTATGGAGGGGGTCTTTAAATATTTAAGGTGTGAGTACAATGAGGCAGAGCTGAAATACAAAATACAAACCTGCAAATCATTTACATTTCATTCGCCGTGTCTATTTTACACTTAATAAAATTTTTCAAGAACAGAATTCCGAAAAGGAAGATAAACGCACAATATGACAAGCTGTTTGCTGTGAGGTGATTGTCGTAGGTTAGAAAATAGATGCTTTCCCCCCCCCCATCATCCCTGAAATAATACACAAAAGAATTAGAATAAACCATCTCGCGCTTGCTATATAAAATAGTAGCTTTTCATGTTGCCATTTTTTGCCAAATGTATTTCAGTAAACAACCATTTTGATCAGCAAATTCAAGATCTAAATCAAGAAAACAAAAATATTGAATGCAAAACATTCCCAGCCACTGTCACAGTCAATTAAGTGTGGCTAGCTAATGAGGCCATTTGCATTGTAAAGCATCCCCCATGTGTTAGGGTTTTAATGGGGACAGAAACGGAGGAGATTAATTGAGAGTGACATTTCTTGAACTCTATTTTTCCCCCTCCGTGTCTTCCACGTCTTGCCTTTGCTTACCTGACTGACAGATCTACCTTTCAAACTCAAATATCTGAAAGACTGTCCACTCATACCCCTCATTGACTCTGATGTTTAAAAAGGGCAGGATGGTACATTATGCATATGGCTCTGGCGATGAACAGAAGTGCTTGACTTCAAGACAAGGGGTGGATTTGGTCCACAAAGTGCCTGTGAACGTTAAAGAAATGGAAAACATCAGAAGAATGATGCACTGCCATGTCATTATTAGCACTTAAGAAGCCATAACGTTGGGTTAGCTGAGGGCCAGGTGCCAGTAATTATCATCTTCAAAGGTGATAAAATTCATATTATACTTTTGTTCAACTTTTCAACTTTCTTTGCTGTTCGAGTATGAAAAATGTCTGCACAAAGTCACTCCAAAAAGGGTTATTCTCTATATCATTGCGCACCGTTTCTGAACTTCCTGAAACGCCTCGATTGTAGTCCTCTTCAGGCAACACACACGTCACAATATTACACATTTATATAATTCGCGCCCACGGCATACACGGAGAAACGGGACGAGGCCTAGTTGAGGTTAAACTCACGGTTATGGTAAGAGCGTGACATTTGCCAAAACACACTCAAAACTGTTGACCAATCACAACACACTGCTCCAGCCGACCAATCAGAGCGCATTGTGCTTTTCAAATGTATGGGGCTTCATAGAAACCGAAACTAAACAGAGATGCTGCAATGTAAAATATAATGTTTTAGGAACATTCAAGCATGAATACCTATTTTAGGAAACCCAAACAAAATCCAAGACTATAAAAAATGGCATAATAGGTCCCATTTATCTTTGTTCTTTATCATTCAATATCATAATACACACTTGCACAAATTAAACCGCATATTTGTGTCCTCTCATGATGCAAGCACGATGCAACTAGAACTTTGAATATGCGCTATACATAAGGTGGCGGGTAACAGAAGATAGTAATTTCCCACTATCTATGGTGGGGGTGGTGGTCACGGGTCTCTAATGACTTATTTAATATTGCAAGAGAAATGACCCGGGGTCCAAGAAGCGCTACGTCTCTGCAGCCTGAAAACAGAAACAATGGAGCCACCTTAATTGTGACATTACAAGCAGTGGCACAGCGAGGAACAGAGGGGGTTTGATTAAAAGGAGAAGAGGTGGGTGACTTTGTGAAAAGGTCACTGCACACTTACCTGGACTTCTCAACTCCCCCCTCTTTCTGAACAAGAAAAAAAGTGGAAGAATATGGAAGAAAAGAAAAAAAAAATCTCCCATGTGATTAGAGACGACTTCCAATATTTCCAGCAATGCCATTAGTGAAATAAGATGGTAATTTACTGGCAGGCGGTATCTGGGCAGAAAACGACAGAAGGAAGTGAGGGTGAGGCAGCAGGTTGTGGGTGGGAACAGATGGCAGCACAGGTGGGGTGGTGTCGAGGTTAATTGAGAGGTTAACAGGGACAAAGGTTTGGCAAAGGTCAGGAGAGACCACCATCCAGAGGGAAAGGCACAGGTTTCTCCTGACTTAAGCATGTTCCGGATGTAACGGCTCAATCCCTATGTGAGATTGTTTAGAGAATGAGTTTTATCAAAGGCAGATTTCTATATCTAGAAACCAAGGTGGCTGATGGCTAATATAATAATAAAATGTCCAGTATATACTCCACTGCTCAAATGTTTGGAGCCAGTGAGATTTAATTTAAGAAATAAGTACTTTCAGAAAGGACAAATTAAATTGATGATTATTTGATGAATTTACCGTTTATTTTTAATTATCAAAATGTTTTTCACAGAAATATTAAGCAGCACAACAGTTTTTTTTTTTTTTCAGAATTCTGAATGACGACACTGAAAACTGGAATAATGGCTGCTGAAAATTCAGCTTTGCCATCACTTGAATAAATTATTTTTTAAATTCTATTTAAAACAGAAAACAGTTTGAACTGTAATAATACTTCAAAATATTATGGTTTACCTGAATTTTTGATCAAAGTGAGACAGACTTCTTTCAAAAACATTTAAAAAAAAATCTCAACAGAATTAACAGTATCGTAAATATAAACATAAATATGCACGCACATTAAATGGTAGCAAAAGGGACGGTTATTTTTACTCAATAATACCCAAGAAAAGTTGAATTGCAAATATAACCGACGAAAGTGAAACAATTCTGTAAATTGACAAAAGGGCAGTAAAGTCATATCTTTTGGAAGCATTATCCAGTCACCTTCCAAAACTCCTCAGCCAGTTTAATAGAACGTATAACTCCTCCAACCTTTAAATCAGTGCGACATACCGTCCTGAATCAATCACAAACCTTCAAAATCACTCTGGAGACATAACAATTTGATACGCCGACTATGATGCTAACGAATTACATTATATCTATCTCTGGACCTTGCACAGGTGAGTCAATTACCACATGCCTGAGTGTGATGGCAAACAGCCTAGCTGCACTGATGCATGACATGCAACTGATAAACATTCAGACCACGGGCGGCTTTCTGAGAAAACAAAAAACGTGTAGACGATTTTCAGTGAATAATCACACAATGCTGCATCACAAAACAGGTACAGATGTCTTAGTCTCCAGTTTTAGATTTTATTTTTAGAAAATTGTAATGTTGATGGTCCATTAACAAACCAACGCTTGGTACATAATGCAGATATTTAAAAAAAAAAAAGTGTTTTGAGGATAAAGAAGAAACATAAAACTGTGCTGAATACAGTATGCTGAACAGATACAGATCCTAAGCTTCACATTCCTTTAAAAAAAATAAAATAAAAAACATGTTTCATAATCATGGAAACAGCATTTTTGAATGTGGAAAGCATGATTTTATTAAAAGACTTGTTTATAGACTATTACATCTTTGTCTGGTCCTCTGACATTGCAATTAGCTACAGATTTGCAATTAAATTTAAACACCGGTCTCTGAAATGCATTTTTATTTTTATCTCAATCTTTTTTAATTAGTTTCTTTTTCTCTGAGATTTTACATCAATGTATTTATGTCAATGATGTATATATTTTGCGTCAATGTATTTGTGCATTTCCATTCAAATTAATCTGAAAATCTCAAGTTTTAGTTTGCTTACTATTAAAATGCATTTGACTCAAAAAAGCCTTTACAGTAACAACAAACCTCTATAGTATCATCATAAGTCAACTATACTTTTTTCGGATTTTCAGTGTTAAAGAGCCAGTCCTGGTCAGTTTGGTCTTAAAGTGGGTCTCGTCAAAAGAGAGGTAAGGTCAGTAGAGGTAAAGTTGTTTGCGTTGAACCGGGTTCAGTTGAATGTTTTAGGTCACACTGTGTTTCTGAAGTGCAGTTTGGCAAGTATGTCGTAAGCAGTTTTGACGAGATGAGTCAGACGAATCACATACACGATGTACCGAAGGTTTTACGCACTTTGAACAAAAAACAACCGTGTTAATGTTATGATGCTAACATAAGCTTACGTAATGCTGAAAAATGCCAGCTTTGTACAATTCACAAAGAAAGTCTCAGGCAATGCAATCTGAAATACATATAACAAATGTAACACTTTCCAATAATGTGTTCAGATATACTAAAGCAAAAAGATGCGTATCTTTAGCAGAGGCTTAATAAAAGAAAAACAAAGTCAAGTTTACACGTAATTCGCAAGATGCATAAAGTGAATTTCTGCATCTGCATTCTACACTATTCGGTGTATCCAGTTCTTTTGTGTATCTTTAAAGCACCAGCAAGCTAACAGCTAATGTTGTTTCAAGAGCTTAGGGACATTTAATTAAATGAGCTACAGTAGACACAGTTTAAATAAAGACTTACAAAATTGGCTATCATTTAAACAGCCCTCTCTTTTCAGAAAAAGTTCAAAATAAGAATTCCACTCAACACCCACAAAGGCTTGACCTCTGACAGTGTGAAAGCTCTGTTTCCACTCAAATTACAGTGATGTGCAGTGCGACCTCAAGTGATGTGACGTCTACTGTTTTTAATTCCACCATCTGCAAGTTTTTAAAATTATAAAGTGTGAAACAAACGTCTTTGGAAACAAAAGAACCTCTGCAAAGAGATGAAATTTAGTTAAAACAGTCAAGCTCTGATATATTAAAGCATTGAATATAAAGCGCTGAATATGCTTTTGTGCACTTTTAGTCTACGAGGATATGTGAAGTACATAAATGTGTTTGTCCTTTTGTATGACCTTTATGGTCATTTTGAGCTCAGGAACAGACTTTTCACAAGTGTGAAATGAACACACTCAGTAGCTCTCATTCACTCACACACACACTCACTCACACTCAACATCTGTCCTGGCTCTCGCCTGCATGCATCTGGGCTTTTATGTTGGGAAACAGATTCCGCAGCACTCCATGCAGATCTCCAGGCAGTCCGAGGACTCGCAGCACGCATCCATAATGCCACAGTCCATGTCACAGGGGCAGTTGCAGTCATCTCCCAGGTCGTCTGCGCAGCAGCAGCAGCAACAGGCTTCTGACGTGCAGGTGCCGCACGACGCCTGAGCCACCACCATATTGCACAGAGTGACAAATTCACAAAACAGGCAGGCCAGGATGCAGTGGACACAGCAGTCTGCTCTCAGAGGCAGAACAAAACAAAAAACATTGAATAAACATACAAAATTATTTTAGTTTTTAAAGTAGTGTCACTTTTCTTGTGTTTTGCCATTTTGTTTGATGTTGCCAGTGGCTCAAACATTATGCACTTCAGCTTTAAAATCAAATTTAGGCTTAAAAACTAAATTTAGTTCAATATGAAAAATATATATAAAAAAATAATAGAATTAATTATTTATAAAGTCTATGTATTTTACAACACTTTGTTTGTTTTAATCATACTGGCTGGCAAGACTAGAGTACGTTTGTCTACATGTGTTGCGTGTGTTTGTGTGGGAGGGTAAGACGGCGGTTCAGCAGCGGTGAGAGCAAAAGAGGAATCAGAGAAATTCAAAAGGAACAAATTCCACTTTTGGGTTGATTAGTAGCTTTGTGAATAATGGGGTTATTATCATGCAAAAGCACAGGGTCGGTCACGTAAAGCTGATTAACAGCGTCCAACATTTTCACCAGCAAATTGGCGTGTTAATGCTGTCGTTTCTCTTATCTCTGATTAACATTTAACCTTCCTCTCGCAGGTGCACCACATACGATGCCAAATTACAGTTGTTTAAGGTGACATGGATACACAGTTTTACATTGACAGGATAACAGGTTATGTTATCTATATTGTGCGCTCTCTCTCTCTCTCTCTAGCAAAATAAATCATATTAAAAATACAATTATTTGTCAGACTACTGTTCAGCCATCATTTGAGATATTTAATGCAAATAAATAAATAAAATCAACACAAAAATATTAATTAATATTAGCATAACCAAACCAAAAGTAACCTGTTTGTGCAATATTACATCACCCAAAATTCTGGTAGATTATTGACTTATCAAGAACTGAATCCTCAAATCGCTCAATACAATACAAATACAATACAACTCATATTTAATTAAATGGTACACAACCAGACTACAGTGTGCTAATAGATACAAGGCAGAAAAAAATGTAACCATAACAAACAGCGGCAGAACATCTTTTACTCAAACTAAGCTTCAATAATCGGCACGGCGCTCACACTGTGCTCCCGCGTAAACAGTGCCGTAGAGAATAACATTGAACCCCTACCAGCCGGACGTGCCGCTCGGACCTCTAATCAACTGTAGAACCCAAACCGCAGTGCATCGGAGAAATCACTGCAATGTGGTGTGTATCGTTATCAGTTTAAAATGTAAATTTGCATGGCTTTCATCAGTCCAGGGTAAGCTGTCAGAGAGATTGCTGGGTTTGATTGGGGCTCTGGTGGTGGTGGGGGGGGGGAGCAAGGACGAGGCCTGAAGACCACTGGATGTTCATGTTTGTTTGATCAAAGTGATTTCTTTTTGTAGGCGGTGGAGCTGACCAGCGGTGGTGCTGTGCAGCCTGGACAGTGTTTGAACATGAAACAAGTTTGCATGCAGGCCCACCAAAGGCTTAAAACATCAGCTTTCTGAAAGGTCAAACGGGCGTACTTTTAGATTTCGCCTGTGCCAACTACATCAGCTACATCAACTGTTTGCTTAATTCATCTGCTTAAAGTACTCATATACAATACATGCTAATCAAAAGCGTGCACTTGCCACTTGATTACCAATTCATTTAATAAATGATTTGATTTGAGGCTTCCTATTGAACAAGTGTGAAAAATTACACGTGTCCACACAGATTATTTTTTCTTGCCCTTTTTTTTAACCAACAATTTCTTTCTAGAAACGGGTTTAAAAGCAACAGTACATAATGAATTCCTTTGGATGTATAATTTATCAGCAGCGATTAGTGTGAATCTTAAGGAATGAGAGTCTGTGTAATGTACACAGGAGACAAGCTGCCTTATCTCAGCCGCAAAACCGGCATCGCCCCAATGAGAGGGTTCATGTTTAATGTCAGCCCGAGCGGAGTATGCCCAGATTCAGCGAGGCCAAAAACAGCCCCAGCGCCTTGGAGGAAATAGTTTGAGACATCTGGAAAACTCCAAAGGCTAACATCAAAAAGAAAGGCAGCGTGACATAAAACAAGCGAGCGGTGGAGGAACGTTCAAATAAAGAAAGACTGACTGGTGCATGGGTTGTACATGGCGGCTTTAGAGACCAAATGAGAGGGAGATAAAATGAAATAAAAAAGCAGTTAATTTGAAGTCAATAAGGAAGTGAGTGCTGTAAACTTTCTGAAAGAGAACTCTGGATACGCTGGGGAAGCTGCAAAGACGGGAAAAACATGGCATTACGATGCACTGCTAATGACCGCGCTAGCTTTCTGCGTACATCCCGCAGCCTTAATTGAATTTGTCAGAGGGATTTTAGACTACTGCGTACTTGCAACACAACACAATCACAAACACGCCATCACTCAAGGTCCTAACCCACCCGCAACGGAACAAAAGATCTCTCAATTAGTTGATTTTCTGCTGGGGTTGCTGTTATCGCAGCTTGCGACGGCAGCCAAGAACACGAGGAATCGCAATCCCCTGAGCAGAGATCTTGTAAAGCTTTATTCTTCAGCTTCCCAGGCTGTTTAGAGGCTAATTTCACAGGCAAACAGATTATGGTAATCCATGTAAACATTAAAACACAACAGCTTGCTGTTTTCCAGGGGGAAATTACTACTTGAGAGAGAACATATTGATTCAAAACACAGTTCTACAAATAACACACGCACGCACACAAGCTGTAATGAGACAGACTTATTGAACTGTTCACACACCCCCCATCTCCAATTAAGATGTGAAAACTATGACGCCTTTTAAAATACACATTTCCGTTAAATCCATAGGGAGATGATGGTGTTTGTTACATGCACCTCTTAGTAGGTTCCTACTCGCAAATCACCTGAGTGATAAATCTGATCTAAAACTTTCCAGTGTTGAAAAAATGTTCACATTCTTTCCTTAATTTTTCACACACAGGATCAAGTCTCCCTAATAAGTGCAGGCCGATGGTTACCTTTGTGCAAATAAATCTTAAAATAAAAAAATGTATTTATTAATTAAATTATTATTTATAAATACATTACAAAAAACTGTAGCAACAGCAAACACCAATGACGTACTTTGTATTATAGAGCATTACATTTTTAACCAATAAATGATAAACGTAAATATATTCATCATGTTTTCTCTTTCCAAACTTCCTGAAACTATTTCATGAAAACACATTTGGGCCAAGTCACTTGTGGGATGATAATTCCCAAATTATCCCTTATAATTTAGCTAACTGCCAGGGTATGTTGTATGAAACATACAAACTGCTTTATTACAGAGAATCTGAAGTTCTCAGCAGGTGCAAGACTTGCTTGATTTAAAAGGGTTAAGGTATCAGACAAGCATGATTGAACATCACGCAATCCATAAACCAGGAAAGTGGCGCTGGTATACAGAAGCAAGGCAGAGAGCCGGTCTTAATGAGAGGACACCGTGAGAGAGGCTGGCGATAGCCCCTGCTGAGGTGGGGTTGACACATGGCAGACCCCCGCTCTCCACAGTCTTGTTAAAAGGTCACACCTTGGTGACCATTACGAATGCACCAGCGATCTCCTTCATTACTGCCCTCTCCTTACCATCACACCTGACAATGTGCAAGCTGCTTTTTTCAGATGGGCCTTCTGTTTTTCCTTCCCATTTGCGAGACAATACAACACCACAGAAATAAAGAGATCAATCTAGTTGGGAGTTATGAAAGATGAAGTAAAGCAGTGCTTTTACAGGACACAGAACAGAAAGGTAACAGATTAGTTGCGGTTAAGCGGAGGGAAGACCAGAGATTCGCAAGCACATAAGAGTTTGTGTGCGAGTGAATGTGTGTGTGCGATGTCATGTACCCTCTGGAGTAGAGCCGGGTTTATGGGAACCCGTCGAGCTGCTTTTGCTCCTTCTGCTGCTGTTGCTGTTGACCGACAGGCTAGAGCGAAGCTTTCTCTGCACACGGTGTGAGACAGGCGATGGGTGCTTCTTGGGCTCGGCGGAGGGCGGTTGTGTGACCCCGCGGGGCGTGCCATGGCCATTACTTAGCACAGTGTGCAGACCGTTCTGCTGCCTGCCAGCCTCTCCATCAATAGCCTTCTGCAGGGATGTTGCTGGCTGGGGCAGAGGCTGAGGTTGAGCTACAGAGAGACAGAGAGAGAATTTAATCAACTGTTTTTGACCAGAAAGACTTGAAGGTGTCTAGACGTTATCACTAACCAAACAAAATTAATAACCTTTATAGTATTTATTTTAATATAAAATGCAAAACAGGAAAAGTTTTATTTTAGTACATTTTCAAGTAAGAAACAAACCAGGAAATGTATTGCAAATATTCATCAAATTTTACAAATTCACAAAATGCAAATATTCACTAAATTTTTAAAAGTCAAGTTTACACAACAGTGACATGTTGATGCATCATGCACTATAAAAATTATTATAATTCCAGTTAACGATTATGGTTTATTAATCATCCAAGGAAGAAAGAATTGGGAAGGGGATTGGGGGACCATGCAATTACCCGTTCACATTTAAGATGGTTCAACTAGGGGTCGACTGATATGTGATTTTCAGGGCCAATGCCAATACCTATTCTTACAGATAAAAAAAAGCAATGTAATGCCTAAAATTGCAATAAAAAAAAAAAAAAGATAAAATAGACTGATAACCAATATTTTGAACCAATTAAAATTATTTTATCGGCAAATCGGTTTTGAAAATGGCCGATACCGATAACCATAAAAATGCTTAATATCTGCACCGATAATCAGTCGACCCCTAGTTCAGACTACTACAGGCGATTGATCCCGATTTGGCTACGATGTGTGACTCTAATGTGAGGTGCTTCCAGATCTGCTCACAGACTCAAAGGGGGCTGCCCTGATAAAATCAAACATTGATATTTATTATTTTAAACCAGGATGATTATGACTACGATTACATCAGCACTTTTGCAAGGATATGGAGGTGAATCAAGCTGCTTTATGGTTCTGTTGGACAGCAGAGATGGCTAATGGAAGAGTGGCAAAAAAACGACTGCCTAATCTGTCTTCTATGGACAAAGAGAAGAGCTGAGGAGAAATCGTGTCCGTTTTAAACATACCGGCTGAGTGTAGAAAAACTGCTAACGCTATAAGCTAACATGCGGACAGTGTTGCCAAACAACGGTGAACATTTTATCCCTTGAGGCTGTGTGTGATGCAACCAGACCTCATAATCTGGTTCAGATTTCATAATTGGTAAGGATTTTAAAAGTAGTCAGTCTTGTAGTCTAAGCCCAGATTTAGTGCATCAAAGAACCGGTTTTGAATAAGAACAATATCACAATTCCCAACCCTACACTCTAAAAAATTTAAACACTCTAAATTTATTAATTGCATTTTTTAATCCAACATTTGGGTTTGTCCATATTTGACCCAAAATTGGGTTAGAACAACCCAGCATTTTTTAGAGTGTAACCATAATCCATAACCTGAATACAGTATTCCTCAAACCTAAGCCAAGGTGTGACCGAAACCCAAACATGTAACAAACATGAGGAGGTGGTCATGGACAACAGTAGTGATGGCAAAGTGAGCAAGTTACACTAGTGTGCATTCAGCTCTGCTGGAAGTCTTATTGTACGCTCTTTCAGGATACGCACCTCATGTTTATTGGGCTCCTTCAAATATTAGTCATTTTCCTGCATTTTTTGAATTATTAATTTTTACCTTATTCTTGCTTTTTGCAGAGATCTCTGAATTTTGTCTGGTGTGTTGTAAGTAGAGAGTGGATTTCCCAATGAAATCTCAGTGAAATTAGTTCTCTTAATTACTTTGTTCTGTTAGTGGGAGGTCCACACTGACTGTGCTATTATTGTTAACAAGAGAAGAAATACAGCCCACCTCTTTATAACATCATATCACCCTGGGAGGACGCTGATGTGAATGTAAAATTACAACAATTAAAAACAGGCCATGGCCAATTGTCAAACACATGTAAGGAGTCAACAGGATACTCTATTGTCTACATTTGTTTAATTATGATTCAATTATTTTCAGCAAATTTTACAATCCGTATCCCACAAATTGTGAAGTTGCTGTCAGCAAAGCTCAGGGCTGGTGACTGGAAGGTTGCTGGTCAGTGATGTTATTGTGAAGTAAAACTATTTAAAAACAGTTTTAGTTAATTGAAACAAAGCTGAAAAAAGTTAAATATAAACGTTAGATGAAAAACTTATTTTAGTTAGGCAACAATTCTAGTTTTCGTATACTAAAACAGATATAAAAATAAATATACGCTAAATAAAAAGTGCATAAAATTACTAAAACCAACTAGAACTTAAATACAAACTGAAAGTATAAAATGTTGATGCAATAATATGAGCGCAAGTAGTGGAAGTTCAAAACAAGTAGTTTTTGCAACTCAGTTTCAATAATGTTATCATGTTACTCCAGAAGTCACTACTCCATGAGTTTACTGTAAGATGCTTTAGATATATGATTACTGAAGAAAAAAAAAATAATTTCACTTTTTCTTTTTTTTCTTTTTTTGCGCCAAAACAACCTTCAAGGTCACAAAATCCTCAATACAAAAGCTTTCCATTGTCACTCCCTGCTTGGTAACTACCTTACACACAGGAAAAGTTGAGCTTTTACAATGTATAAAAGCAACATCAGTTAGAAGAAAGCAATAATTTATTAACTGATGTTTGTACATCAGGATAGCCCACCCGGAACAGCCTGGTGTTAAGTCTCTTGCTCAAGGGCACAACGGTGATGGTTTATGGATCCCCCTTTAAGTGTTTTGAACCAAACCTGATCTTTAACCACAACACTAAATTTGCCTTCTGCTTCGCCAGACAGCCTCAAAAGCAGCCCAGTAAAGGAACGCGTTGCACATGCATCTTGCAATACATTTCTAGAACAACAGAACAGAGAATGTTGCGGTCATTTGGTGCACACTGATAGGATAGCACGGGCCCGACGAAAGCCCAAAGGCCAACGCAACCCAGAAGAAAAGTTACACCTCTATAAAATATAAATGTTGCTTTCAACCCAAGGCATGATAGGTGATAAAAATTGAATAGCTGCACTAAGCGTAAAAACAAGCATTGTCTCGCAAACGGTGATTGTACACAAGCTGACAGGTCGCATTAAAACACCATGTTATGGTGCAGAATGGGAGGAGGGGGGAAAAGAAAACAGTTCAAATTGGTCTTCTAACCGCTCTGCTTCCAACATATCAACAACTGTTGAGAGTGTACATTTGTAGTTGAATAATACATGGTATTCCTCTACACACGCTGTCAAACACATCACAGGCAAACAGGGGGTGAGTGCTTCTTGACTGTCTAAGCAGCATCCCAATTTGGTCCCCTGGATCTGACAGCCTCAAATATCCTGGGAGCATTTTTAAAAGGCCAGTGTTTGATGGATTCATGAAGAACACACAAATATAATTGCCATTTGTCACCGCACGTTCGGCGCACGCCCCACGCGGGGACGGCGGGCTGGGACGCCCAGGAGAGACGCCGTGCCACCGTGGAGTCGCTCTCTATGTAAAACTGTGGATAAACACCCCTTTGCCTCGGTGTCACAGAAAATAGCTCCGCTGGAAGAATTCAAAATTGTACCCCAAAGACATGGAAGCAGAGCATGGCGGACCTCCCAAGAACGAATATGTATGAACGTCAACTGCATGGAGCGGCATAAACAAGACGGCGAAAATTCGGTCAAGCAGGAGAGATGTCGGAAAGGAGGTGAGACGGGGCTGAGGATGTTCTCTCATTTGCGCTGTTCTCTATGGAGACTGAAAGGTAAAGAGAGAGAGAGAGAGAGAGAGAGAGAGAGAGAGAGAGAAAGAAAAGTAGGTCCTTGTATTTTTGCGGCTCGAGGCCTTTTAATATTTCATCCTGTGAGTGGAGCTGTTTGCTGTGCCCCATTAGGACGCCCATCAAACGGAACATACATTAATTCACTTGTCAACTCATGTCATCCAGCTAAACAGCTCCCATCCATTTCTTATCATCATCTGCTAATGGCTAACAATCATTACCTGTACAAAAGAGTTGAAAATATGCAAAGTACTGTGATGGTGAAAAACGCTATCTTAAGTTAAAATGGTCAAGTTAGTGGAAGTTTCTCTTTAAACGGCTTGATCTTTTGTAGGTTTCTTTGATGTAGGGGAAAAGTTAGATAGATTACGTTTTATTTCAAATGCTAAAATCTGTGGACAGCTCATTTTGAACCTCATACTGAACCTATAGAGTATGTATACAAACTGTATTATATATACGTATAGGACATCAATATATAAATAAAGGACGTCTTTCAAAAAGACTTTTGAAAATGTCGAAAATTATAAAAATTTTATTTACTTTTTAAAATGTTCAATAACATAATTCAAAAAAATAAAAACATTCTAGGAAAAAAAAACTAATAAAAAAGATTTTAAAATAATCCAGGCAAGGGTTTCTGCATTAGAATTTGTTTAGCTTTGTGTATTATAATATGAATGCAACACAAATATCTGTTTAATGCTCCATGGGCCAGTCTCTCTGATTGAAATGCTAATTTGCAAATGTGCACTGACCTACCAGGAGAGTTCCCACCATCTCCCAAAACAGCCCGGGGTGGCATTTCTCCTCACAAACACCTATGGCAAGCTTACACCTTTCAATCCAAAGCAATATACTCTTTCAGTTGAAATGATGTCCCCGTATTTATAGAAACAAAACCATGGGAATTTGGTTGGAGGGGAGGAAGTAGAATGAATATTATTAAAAAAGGGCTGTGACTTCAACTTCAGTATTTTAAAAATCGTTTACTGCTTGACCTTCCGACTCTGTGGCAAGGTCTTACTTCCCGAGAATTAAAATTTTCACTTAGGTGATCTATTGCCTGAGCTGGATCCATTATGTGCATAAAATGAATCTGAACCGACCAAATAAAACGAAAGGTGCAAAATGGTACACCCAGAACATTCTTGATATGGTCTTATGCACAACAGCTATGTATATTTTTTAGGTAACTTATTTAAACTTTTGTCCAATTGTGTCTTTAATACATTTATTTGAGACTACAGTGTGTCTTGATCACAGTAATTGCCCTGTTCTTTGAAGCCGCCCCAAATGTCACATGCCAGAACTATTTTAACT